CCCCCCCCCCCCCCCCCCCCCCCCACAAAAAGAACTGCTAAATTCTGTACAAATTTGTCGACAGAAATGAGGTGGCAGTTATTTGGCCCTTAATTTCAATTTCATTCATTCAAGTCAAGGGACAAAAATTGTCATCTCATATTCTATCAACAAATCTATAACCCAATTTCTGTGCAAGTAGCAAAATTATTTTTTTCTTGCTCCTGCTGGCTCAGACTAAGCTAGACACAGCTTGCCTTCAAAGGTGGCCAGCCACAACCCAGTGCCAAATGTTGAGCTAGTCACCATGTGTCTATCCAACCCAATCCAACACACTTTAACACCACTGTTATGTTGTAGTGATTAAATCCGACTTCGATGTGTCGCATCAATAAAATCAGCTCATGCGGAGACCAATGCAAGCCATCTAGGCTCAACAAACTACCTTGAACTAGCACGGCACTGGGGAAAAAAAAAAAAAGATTTTAAATTAATTTATTGATAACATGAAAAAAAAATAGAATGTAATTTCACAACTGCACCAAAGAAAAGCCTAATCAATAATGGCAAGATATTACAAAGATGCAGCAGCATGTTTAGGACCTTCAACTCTTTTTAGACCTCCTTTTCAGTTCGTGAGTTTACACCCCCATTTCAGAAGGGGATGATATTATCAAATTGTGGTTGTCATTACTGGGAGATATTGCAGTAGCCGTCGGAGATGTCATGAGTGGCATGGCAGTAATTTTTGCAACACCATTGTTAATAGGCTGTTGAGTCCTGCTTTCACTTCTCATATTTATAGTGTCATTGCTGGTTATTTCTGTTTCATCTGGTCGTGACAGCAAAGAATACTTCGTTTCTGTATGAGAACAGAGAATTACTCAAAATTATGAAATAAAGGTAAAGTAAGTAGAATTCTTAAGCAACAATCAAATCATGCGACCTCATTGAACCTCATGAACATTTGAATACCAAGCATCATAAAGTGCATACCCAGTAGTAGACTGAACTGCTCAGGACAGTAATGAACAGGATTTAAACTTCATTTCCTTCGTTAATACAGTTGAGTACTATATAATCCTCTCTTCCAAACATGCTCATTATGATACACAGGACTGCACAGGGATGAACATAATCAAAGAAGCAAAATATGTGAAATATTTGTTCATCATTGTGCAGTCCAAAATACCAAACTTACTTGAAAAGACATTTCTTCTTCTAACTGATAGACATATCCCTTGTTTTACGCAGATTAACATGATAGGCAGTTTGCACATACATCTATCTTAATTATTGAATATTTCTCTCAGTAAATGGGTAAATTCAGTAGGAAGAGGTTCGGAGAAGATTTCTATTAATGGCTTGATGCTTTACAGGCAAGACCAACCCCTCGATCAACTTGGCTTCCCTTTCAGTGTCCAGCAATCCCAATGTTTCTTACAATTTCGCTTCTAAAATGTACACCACTATTAACTTGTTGGTACAGAAGATTGGATATCACCGGATAGTATTATGGAAGAAATTGTTAAATCTTGCTCAATTTACTATGAGTATTCACACTAGAAAGGAGGAAGCAACCTTGCATATTATTATGCTAGTCAAGCTGCATCTAATTTTTCACTTTCTTGTTTGTGGGTGGAGAAGGTGTACGGGGGACAGGGGAGTAAGTGAAAACATGTCACCTTATCTACTGTAGGCCCCTATTTGAGCTACATTATTTTCAAAAAAATATATTCTGCAATAGTAATTTGACATCATTTCAACCACACATTTTTCAATAAAATAATATTACACACAAATCTAAAACTTTTCCTTATTTTTAACCACACATTTCCCTTTGTTTTGACATCAATAATGCATTTTTTTCCCTATAATGTGACTCAAACAAGCCCTAGATATAAACATTCTTAAAAATTTTAGGCTTCCCTTGTTAAAGAAAAAAGGTGCATTGTACTTAGGATGATGGCCTATGGACAATTTGTAAGGTCTCCAATGAGTTTTAGTGGCTTTGTCCTAGTAAAAAGTAGCCAAATTTTTCTTATTTTTTTTAACAGTCTGACAGAAATTGTCCTAGTAAAAAGTAGCCAAATTTTTCTTATTTTTTTTAACAGTCTGACAAGATCGAGGTTAAAAGCCTAATGGACAGAGTAATAGAAGGATGTGAATTAGCACCATTAATTTAAGTTACAGATTAGTAAGCCAATAATTATGAGTGTTTGAGTTGCATTGACAAATGAAACTAGATAAATTTTTTGACAAAACTTGTGGAGTAGAATAAACTTTTAGTTGAATTTCTTAGGAGTTTTAAGTTTAATCAGAAAATTAAACCACAAATTATAATGATTCTCAAAAAACTGAGGTCGTGGCCTCATTATATTTGGCATCCACAGCGAAGGGAGGAAATGATTTCTCATGTATCAGTTATTGTTTCATTAATGAAACTTGACCGCAACAAATATGTTTATAAATTCATAATAAAGGTACAAGAGTAAAGCAAGAGATGTGATAGAACTTACCTTTTATTTCTCCTAACGTGACGAGACGGTTAAGACAATCACGGAATTTTGTCAAAACAATTCTTTCTTGCTCTATATAGGCTTCAGTGAGGCATTTCCCTTGCTGCAACTGGGAAGACACGGTACTATGGTCCACTAATCCATTAACTGTAGTGGTGGTAAACATCATATCTTGCTCGTCACACATCAGTGCTAATGTACTGGGAGACATTGGCCTTCTTTTTGATACATCAACTTCATCTGAAACAGATGTGTCAGGGCTAGCCTTCTTGGCATGGTCTCCACTTAAGACATCATCAGTCAAAGGTTTCATAATCCCATGATCCTTTTGGCTTTGATGGTTATCTTGTGTTGATGAAGGCAGTGAGCATTCGCTGCAGTCCTCTGCCTGCTTCTCCGCAGTATTTCTTTCCTCTAGAAGTATTACCATAAGTTAGCAGATTAGTTTCATATATCAAAGAGGGAAAAATCAACTTGCTACATAACTCGGACTGTTAAAAATGCTTTGAATTATCCATACAGAAACCCGACAGTTGAACAAGAATCTGTCAAGTTTAGTGAAACAGGGATATGGGGTGTGTGATATTTTGTTGGTCATAAGATCAGAAAGCATATTTATAATGTTCGATATTTATAATGTCATAAGATGTGGAATTTGAATAGTTGACATTACATTTGATAACACTCTAGGAGTGTATTCAGGCTTTTCAACTTAATTTTTTCACATATTGGCATGAAGTCATTGAACTATTTAACTAGATGTCAAGAATGAAGTGACAAATTATTTAAAATAATATCGTTAATTTCAAAGCAATTACTTTAAGGCCTGCCACTACAAGGGAAAAAGGTCTTTCATTGGAAATGAATTGTGTACAAAAATCAATTCTAGAGGAAAATGACCTGATAAATATCAACTAGTGTTGAAGATATCTGAATCAAGTCGTTGTTGAATATCCATAACCCAGAAAAGAAAATGATCCAAAAACAAATAGGAAAGGGAAATGAAATAAATACAACCAAGATATTTTTAATGAGTAACAATAATAGCAAAGGAAAGAGAGCTCATTGATAAGCAAATCAGTTAATTGAGAATTATAATGCACTTACATAATTGGAAGTTTTTCATTTTATTATGGACAAATTGAAATACTATCCAATATCCATACATTAATTTAGTGGAGACTTAACATTTATTAAAAATGTGATTCCCTGTCTGGTTTCCGCTGGCTCAAACCTATTGAAGGGACTACTAGACAACTTACAACAATTTTTCTAGATATTCTACAAGTTAAGAACAACAATAAGTGACGTACATACCATGTATTCAACAAACTCCATAAAACTAACTGCAAATTGACTGAACTTTTCAGTCTTTCTTATTAATACCTGAAGGAATTTTAAACAACGGCATTGCTAGCTAGTTATATTAATGTGAACATCATGCGTGGAAAGCTTTTTGACTGACAAATTGAAGTATAAATCTCTTAAAAAGATACAGAAACCAAGACGTTTAGAGAACTTTAGGGAAAACTAATAATCTGTGCAATTTGTGAATCCTTATATAGCCATAATTACCTGCAAGCATTTTGGCAGCCTCTCCTGAATATACCACTAACACTGAGCAAAGCTCCTTCAAGTCCTGGGGCTGAATGATGTCAGCTAAGAGAGACCTTAAGGCAAAATGAAATAGTTATTAAGTTGTCTGCAAGTGCTTCTGAATAATTCTTCAGAATGTAAATATACCTGTAAGTAAATTTTGAAGGACCCAACGCTGACCCAGTACCAGGACGAGCACCAGGAAATGATGACTGGGAAGTGGAAGGTACAGAAGCCTTGATTTGGTCAGCCTGTAAGTGCAAAAAAATAGAAATCGAAGCTAATTATAGATTGTTCCTCCAGTCAATGTTTAAAAAGGTTCGACCAGACACTGAGGCAATTTATATCCATGAAACAAGACATAAGCCTCAATGCAGACCAACAAAACAATTTTTATAGTTGATTGTAATAAACCAGACAGCATGTTTAAGATCCTAACAAAACAATTTAACAAAATTAAAAGCCTAATTTGCGAAAAAACGTATAATAGATCAATATGGAAGCAAAGCAAATAGTAAATCTTCGAATTAGTTATCACATAACAATATCAATAAATCACTAATACAACTAGAGAAAGCCTAAAAGCCTTCCATAAATTATCATCATATTTGATTCCCCTATTATCGTTCTCGTCACCATAAATTTCCATTCTATTTTCTCATTTCCATTTGCAATAGTGCAATATTTTTAGAACCTCAAAATTTTAAGTATTTTATTGCATACAATTTAATTGCCAATTAATAGAAATGTTATGTCTAGTCAAGTCTTTATGCAAGTCAATTTATTATGCTCAATAGTTAATTGAATCTATATAGATATCCTTAATAGTTGAAGGACCAAAGTCGAACTAAGTATTAAATTTTACACTTTTAATTGGACNCTACACAAGAATAAGCAATCAATTATCGCCTATTTTGTTACTTGATCGTTTTCGAGAGACTGTTTTTCCGTTGATCACATTTTTTGCTCTGTCGAAAGCTCAACACGATACTCGATCTTCCATGAATGCACAAATGCCTTAGTACACAGTACATGATCCTCAATATGGTGAAGCTATAGCAGATTGTCTAGGGTTCATTAAAAAGTCCGCAATCATAGACGACTAGGACTCGAGTGGTACCTGTTCCATTGATCCTGCTACTCGATTCGTTTTAATGTAACTGTGAATCAATTATCTTGTAATCTGACTTTGATTTTCTTTCTTCCTTTTTGTTGTTTTATTGTGTGGTAGAGGCTGTGATATTGAAGGATTAGCTTAGATGACAATTTTTCAACATAGAATTGTAAAGTTGATTTTATTACAGCAAGTATTAGAAAAGTTTGCTTATTTTTTAGCAACAAGCTAAGTCAAAACATGATCTTCCAGTAAGATTAGTTTTCATGCTCTTGTAGAGGCGTCTACGGGCCAGATCGACCCGGGCAAATGCCAGCCGGTCCCAGTCAATCACCAGCCAGAGTCAGCATGGGTTCTGTGGTGGGTCAAGTCAAGTATATCTCACCACTTTTGTTGGAGGTCCATCTTGATCTGGGTCAAATTAAGCCTAAACCATTTCCCATGGAGCTGTTAGCAC